TGCTGGTCAAAACCGTTACATATGAATACAGCAGGTTAATGGGTATGAAAGAAAATCTTTATTTACTGAATTGAATAATCCATTATCATTACTTCCATCACAAAATATCTTTTTTTTTATTACACAATATATAAAATAAATCCTGTATATATAGTCCAGATCATGTTAAATTTCGGACACTGATCAGATATTAACTATTAGATATTAGACCACAATCAAAAAGTCATATGTTATCAAATTTTATCACCTTTCAATTTATTATTAATACTATTGTTTTCTGTGTAATGACCTTTTATAAAGGGTCACTTTCTAAAATAAAAATCTTATATCATATTAGTTTACTTATACAATCATATACAAATCCCTTATGTATGAAACATCTTAACAATTTCAATTTACATAATACTCTTTTTTATAGATGAAATCAAAATTCAAAAGAAATTTTATTTTATTTATGAATCCATATACAGCTCCCTTATGTATAAAAATCTCTTAACAACTTCAATTAACATAAAGATCTAATTATTTAAGCATCCAAAATTCGAAAGAATTTTATTTTATTCAGGAATAAACATCACATTTATATAGCTTTCAGTGCTTAGGTTTGTAGCTTTCTTATCTAATATTACAGTGTATAGAATTGATCACAATATGTAAGATTCCATATTCAGTTTACAGTCAATTGAAATGATAGGTCTTTTAAGGAAAATGACGTAACTTTCCTAATAAAAGCATAGATTTCGCTCGAAAATGAAAGAATGCAACTCTCGGAACAGTCAAAACAGAAATACCATTGAAACAAACCTTAAAACCCTGGTATCCTTTATATTAACCTACAAGTGGTTTCAGTAAAAGTTAACTTATAATTATTATTACAATTTATTTATTTCAAATTAATTAAAAGTTTTCCTGGGGCATAATAAAGTAAAGTAATAAATGATAAACAAAATAATTCTTTGCAAGAAACATAAGATCTTCATAATAAAGCATTTAGAAATCAACAAATTCTTCACAATTAGTCTCTATTACGTACAAAATATTAAGTTTTTACAAATGTCATGGTATTGTACTATTTTACAAATTGGGGAGAAACTTTGTATGAGGCAGGGTAGCTCTATGGAATAGTTTTTCCAGGGCCCTGGTCAGTCTAGCTAATTAGACTTGTCAAAGAGACATCAAGATAATTTTGGGCATTATTTTTCTAAATGGTTTGACAAAACGAAAAAAACCATTTGTTAAATGGGTCAAACCGTTCATGGGGAATTTACTAGGCTAGGCCCAGGTCAGGCTGGACATTTTATATAACTATGTGACAATAATTCTAAAGAAACAAAGTTTTCTTCAAATTATGATTTCTACAACAAACAAAATATTCTTCAACATGCATCGAAGTTCTTCACAAAAATTTTAAATTTTTCACACAATTTATGATATTTGTTTACGTCATCTTTCTTGTTTTTTAAAACAATTCATTCACGGGACAGAATATCTTTTATTAAAATTATGTGTTTAGGTATTTATTATTTTGATTATTTATTTGTAACAAAATAAATTACTGTGTGTAAATTCCTTCTGTTTGTCTGCTCATATTCCATTCATAGTTTGGAACAGACAAATTTAGATGGTCTCATTTATTATACATATTACAGTATATATAAAACATCTGTGACACAGGTAATCAAACACTTTCATCATGATACAGAAAGCTTTAACAAATCAAACAAGAATGCATTTGTGTACTTATAACAATTTTATCATGTTAATTAATTGATTTTTTCCCAACTAAGCAATTCTCTTCAATATGATGATTCTGTCATAGATAGTTAAACTTTCTATGGTACAAACCTTATGTAACAATATTACATAATAACAAAACCTACTCAGTGCAATATGACTGTCTATTGTTCCTTTATGTAAGATAATTTTAGTTATCTTTTATAGTTGCAGGAAAAGGTTTAGAAAGAAAACAATAAATTAGTCAGTCTATTGGTTACATAGTCTTGACTATTTGTCACAAAAGTGACTCTGTGGTCAGAAAGATCTATTTTGACACAAAAGTCAGCCTATAGGTTACAAAGATCTGTTTATTTGACACAAATGTTTGTCGGCTGATCAGAAAGATCTGTCTATTGACACAAAATTCAGTCTATAATTGGTTACAAAAGGATCTGTCTACTGCACACAAAAATCAGCCTATCGGTGACAAAGATCTGTCTTTTGACACAAAAGTCAGCCTCTTGGTTACAAAGATCTGCCTTTGACACAAAAGTCAGCCTATCAGTGACAAAGATCTGTCTATTTGACACAAAAGTCTGCCTTTTGGTTACAAAGATCTGCCTTTGATACAAAAGTTAGCCTATTGGTTACAAAGATCCATTTATTCGACACAAAATTCAGCCTATTGGTTATAAAGATCTGTCTATTTGAAACAAAAGTCTGCCTATTGGTTACAAAGATCTGCCTTTGACACAAAAGTCAGACAATTGATCACAAAGATCTGTTTATTTGACATAAAAGTTAGTTTGTTGGTCATAAAGATCTGTTTATTTGACTCAAAAATTTGTCTTTGGTTTCAAAAGATTTGTTTATTCAACACAAAAGTCAGCCTATTTGTTACAATAATCTGTTTATTTGACATATAAGTTAGCCTATTTGTTACAAAGATCTGTCTTTTTGTCACAAAAGTCAGCCTTTTGGTTACAAAGATCAATCTACATTTTGTATTTGGTTACAAAGATCAACCTGTTTGACACATAAATCAGCCTAGTGGTAACAAAGATCTTTATATCTTTTACAGAAGTCTGTCTACTGGTCACCAGAAAGTGTCTATTTGTCACATTATTTTACTATTTGTTACAAATTTCTGTCTTATTGTCATGAAGAAAATATTATATTGATTGGCACCACAATTATTTCAGTTTATTTCAGTCTATCTATCATATAGACACCTTCCATTAGTCAAAGAATTAAGTCTATTTATGGCAAAATGTCAGTTCAATTGCATATAATACATTGTATCTATTATTGTCACATCACAAAGATCTGTCTATTTGGGACAAAGATTCATATTTTTGAATGAAAATCTACATCTAGAAACTAGTCTTTTTTACATATGACTGATCTCTGGACTTCACTTGCTATTCCTGGGCTATTGTTAAACGCTGTATTGGTAATCTATTTAATAAGCATTAAATAGCAGCAAGGCAGACAAATACTCTGTCAGTGTGTCAGGACTTGCATCTTTTCAAATTCATTTGGGCTCAAATTCATTTACTATACAGTCACTGAATTATGCACAGATCAGAATGAGGTATTTATTACTCTTCTAACAAACATGTAAATAGTTCTATGCATTTATAATTATGATCTTTAGCATAAAAGTAGTTGTAATTAATGGCTATCGTTGCATTATTAAAACTAGGCGGATTATCAACTACCGATACCATTTTAAGAAGGAAATTTCAAAGTTTTGAAGACAAATAATTCTGTCAAAACTCATGCTTAAGTTATAGACCTTGGATAGTGATGACCTATTGTAATCTCAAAGACAAGCCAACATCTTTAGTTGTTGGTGAGATATATCAAGTTGTACAAGAAGTTTCTGACTGTATGTGTGGTGCCTAGGTTTCTCTAATGGGAGGCATTCCAAACTGCAACACAACTTATATATACAATGTATTATATAACAAGAGCTGTCACAGGAGACAGCCAAGCTCGACTAATAAAATACTGGACGCAGTAAGGAGGACAAAACTATGAAAGAAAAACCAGTTATGTATAATTATGTATTAAGTTATAGTAAAAAAATATCATTTGTTAACATAAATTCCAAGATCAAGGGGAATAATTCTAGAAATAGTCATGCTAGAGTTACGAACCTTGTCACACAAAATGTGTGTAATGATAAGAAATATATATTTGAAGTTTGAAGTATATACCTTAAAAAGTAAAGAAGTTATAATATTTCTTAAAGAAAATCCTAAGTTCAAAGAAAGATAAATCTGTAAATATTGTCTCAAGAGTTACGAACATTGTCACATAAAATGTAATTGATGATAAGGAATAAGTATTTGAAGTTTGAGGTAGATACCTTTAAAACTTTAAAACTAAAAAAGTTATAGTAAAAAAAAGTTTATGGGGGGATAATTCTTGCAATATTAGTGCTAGATTTATGAACCTTCTCACATAAGATTTAGATGATGATTAGTTACATATATTTGAAGTATGAAGTTGATCCCTTTAGAAATAAATAAGTAACAATAAAAAATAATATTTTTTAAGGAAAATTCTAAGTTCAAGGGGATATAAATCTGAAAATATTGGTGCTAGAGTTATGAACCTTGTCACATAAGATGGGGATGATGATAAGGTACATATATTTGAAGTATGAGGTTGATCCCTTAAGACAGAAAGAAGTAACAGTAAAAAATAGTATTTTTTGAGGAAAATTCTAAGTTCAAGGGGAGATAAATCTGAAAATATTTGTGCTAGAGTTATGAACCTTGTCACATAAGATGGGGATGATGATAAGGTACATATATTTGAAGTATGGGGTTGATCCCTTAAGAAATAAAGAAGTAACAGTAAAAAATAGTATTTTTTAAGGAAAATTCTAAGTTCAAGGGGAGATAAATCTGAAAATATTGATGCTAGAGTTATGAACTTTGTCACAAAAGATGTGGTTGATGATAAGGAACATATATTTGAAGTTTGAAGTTGATACCTTAAGAAATGACAAAGTTATAGTGAAAAATATTTTACGGCTCCAAAACTTAAATCTGAAATCTGGACGCGGACGCCGACACCGGGGCGAGTAGGACAGCTCTCCATATACTTCGTATAGTCAAGCTAAAAATTAAACAGACATTTTCTTATTCAAGATTCTTTTCCTCTGCTGATGCTCTTGCATTTTAATGATATAAGCATTCAAAACTGTAAAACAACTTGGATATTGAAATACATTCACTTCACTATAATATACCTCACTAAACTTCCCTTACCATATTCAGGATTTTCCTCCTCTGACTCATCATTCTCCCCAGTGTCTGCTGCTGGAGCAGCATTTAGAGGATGAAATTCTTCAACTTCCACAGCCTCTGATTTATCTACACCTCCATTCTTCTTCTGCTTGCCCATCTCTTTCACCACCAGGTTAATGTCAATTGTTTTACTTTTATATTTTATTTGCTATGTCACTTTAAAAGTTATTCCTATTTTGACTATTTGTTCTTTATCCTGAATCTTGTGTGATATCCTTAATGTAATTCATTTCAAACAGTCAAATCCTGTTTTCCACTCTTTTGATATTTATCACTTATTTTATATCCATTTCAACAACTATTTTGAATCTATGTCCAGGAACTGGTCAAAAATGTAGTGTTTAAAGCTAAAACACTTTAATGTTACCTAGCTCTATATGATGTTAAACATTTCCATGATTTTTGTATTCTTTGTCAAATAGTCCATCAAATTCCTATATACACCACTTCTAACTATGTTTTATATGAGATAACACACCGACTTCTGTTTGGAAGATAATTTTTTGTTTAAATACAAGTCCATCTTACATTCCTGACAAGTACATTTGAACACTTTTTTATTATCGTTTCTATGTGTTTTTGTTTTGCCCACAAGCAAACAATAAGTTTGATAATAAAAACATTAAGTGGTGTGTCTGTTTTTGAAGGCTAACATAAAATGCTCTATATATGACAAAACTATGACAGTTTAATGTATAATAAATTCTTTCACTGAACCTTCTTTACAATGAATTCATCTTACATTTTAGATAATATAGTATAGAGGTAATGAACTCTATAATATGCTAGGATGCTTTTATGAAATTAATGTACAAAACTTCAGGTCAACAATCAAACCTGGGTGTCTTTTCAATGTAATGTACATTCTTTAGCGGACAAGCTGAATACTAAAAACATTCTTTTCAAACAGATTTTATGATAATCTATGCATCATATATTGATTTAACAGTGAAATTTAAAACCGCAGTCGTCATTGATCCAGAATTGACCTAGTGAATGAAAACAATAGTTTACTCTATTTGAAAATGAAGCTTTTAATGTATTTTTAAAGTACACATTGAAAATATCCACAAATTTGTTAAACTAGTAAGTTGACGTCAAACATACTAGTTATTTAGTAAAATCCGCTGCAAATTGTAATGTTGATAACAAATATAAAAGTGAAATTCACATAGGCTTATTGAAATAATCAATACACTAAGACTAATACTATATCAAAGGGCTGTGACTTTGTATGTAAACATTATGAACAGGTATTTCCCTATGCTAAATATGGTTAATATACATAGTGTAGTCATAATCTGTATGTGAATTGCCTGGAGCTACAGGTATACAGTCCAAAACCACTTGAAATGGTTGTAATAGTGCCGGTTTATTATCAGTGGTTCAAGCTGATTCGAGGCCAACACTCAGTGGCGCTCTGGACAGACTTAAAATATAAATGGCCAAATTACTATACGGACGACACGTGATCACAAATATATCTTTAAACGGCACTTTACCCAGGTTCTCTGAACTCTTAATTGCCAACCAGTGGCTAGGATGGTGGTGTAGGACGCTACCTTTAATTTACTTTTATTAAGAAAGTATAACACAAGACTTTATAAATTTAACATTACGAGATTTATTCAAACGATAATCATAGACTTATTTAAACGACAATCGTATAATTTATTTACCAAAAGTATGAATAAGACTATATATTTAAGCAGAATCTACCAAAAACTAGTTATTTATTTAAAAAGAATTTCTAAGTATTTATTAATAAGTTTAGCCTAAATTCTCAAATCATATAGATTTCAAAGAGAGTCAAAACTATTAAGTTTTGAAGAGTGCCAAAGCTCTAAAGCTTTGAAGTGAACTGACCTGTCGGCCAGCTCCCAAGACAAGATATATAGAAATTCACCCGGTATTTATACACTTTTGGTAGTCATGACAATGCTTAACTATAAGATTGATTGGTCAAAATTACTCATAACAAGTTCTGAACTAATCGAATTATATTAATCAAGTGGACCAATAAAAACTATAGAATTAAACCGAAAGCACCAATCAAATTAACTCTAACAAATAAGGTACGGAAAATAAGCGGAAAGGGCAATAAAAACTGAGAACGTTTACTAAAATGCAGCCCTATTACATGGTTATAGATAAGGACAAAAATTACACAAACATTACACATTACATGTGATCATGATATGTAATGAGTTTTAATAGTGTATTGTTGGTCTAAAGTAAAATCCATGACAATATTGTTGTCCATATTATATTTTAACCTACCTGATAGTGATTATATGTTGTTGGTAATAAAAATGATGATTTAGGTGTTGCATGTTGAAATGACTTTTTGATGTTTTTTGATGTTATTGATGATAAGGATTATTATCATGATGATGACACAAAAGTTTGATGACAATAAAAGTTATGATGTATAGGATGATGTTCTAGTTATTAAGTGTTGTTATTGATGATGATCATGATGATGATGATTTTATTACTGATTTTGTTGTCAATGATGATGAAGATGATGATGTTGTTGTTGTTGGTGGTGATGATGATGGTGATGATGGTAGTGGTAATGATGGAAGTGGTGATGGTGATGATGGTGTTGATGATGGTAGTGTTGATGATGATGGTGATGATAATGATAATGGTGATGATGGTACTGGTGATGATGGAAGTGGTGGTGATGATGATGATGATGATGATGATGGTGGTAATGATGATGGTGATGATGGTAGTGATGATGCTGATTGTAGTGATGATGATGATGTTTATGATGATGATGGTAGTGGAGATGATTTTGAAGATGATAATGACAGCCAAATCATTGATGGTGGTGATCAATGCTGATGATTTTGTTGTTGTATTTGTGTTGACATTGTTGTTGATGATGATAATGATGATTATGTTGTTGTTGTTGTTGTTGATGATGATGAAAATGATGATCATGCTGATGATGATAATGATGATGGCAGGTAAATCATTGATGGTGATGAGGATAATGATAAAATTCCTTTTAGAAGCTACACACACTACAAATATATTCAAGTCGTTCCTTTAAATAAGCAATCAAGGGAGAATACTCTTAATATTGAAAATCAGAACCAATATGGTTATGTCCCTTATAAGCTGATATCAACACATTTTATACATGATCTTTCCTATTATACAATCTATAGTTCATGAACAATGTGACACGATGATTTGTTTATCTTAATGTTAACATTTTGTGATACTTGAACAGCATTAATACCACAAGGAAGTCATGTACCAATGTTGACAATCTATTTTACCCCCTGATGTATTTTTGTCGATAATCCCCATAGTTTCATTTCATAATACACACCTGTAAATTTATTACCTGGTACAACAAAGTTGTTATCAAGAGGAAATTAATCATTGTTGACTTCACATGAAGTAACTTTAAGGCAAATATCTTATGTTTTTGTACACACACAAAAAAATACATTTTATTATCTATACACTCTTAGACCAAAGGTAAAGCTATCCTTAGATTTTCATATCTCTTTAAAGATTTTCCTTTTTTTATTTTTCTTATGTTTTCTTAATTTTCATTTGTTATCAATAGGATATTAATCATTGTTGAATACACCTGAAGTAACTAATATAGTATATCAAATATCTTTCTAGTTTTTGTACAAAAAAAGACCCCAATTTTTTATTATCTGTACACATTTGGACTAAAGCTATTCCAAGATTTTCCTATCTCTTTGAAGGTTTTCCCTTTATTTATTTTTCTTTTGTTTTCTTTATTTTCTTGATACTGTACTCACTTACATTGATGAGGGTAGATGATCTCATGTAAACAAATTTTATTAGAATCATAATGCCATAATCAAATGAGTACATAATTACGACATTTTTCCATTTTATGGCAGCTTTATGTATACTTTGATTCAAAAATGCATTAATTTTCATAATAGCTTGATTTTGAAGAAATGAAAGCTAAGGGCATATTATATTAACTTGCATGGAAGAAGACGTGAAGCAGTCAGATAGACTTGTCAGTGGAACTGCAGTATGGTATTCTTAGGTTTCTGTGTTTGAGTCCCAGTCATGCTGGATATTTTGCTCACCTTTTTGTCCTGTATATGCACTAATAATTTTCATCCTATATGCTCCCTAATAAGTTTTATCCTTTAAACTCCCTAATAAGTTTTGTCCTATATCCTCCCTAATAAGTTTTGTCCTATATCCTCCCTTATAAGTTTTGTCCTATATCCTCCCTAATAAGTTTTGTCCTATATCCTCCCTTATAAATTTTGTCCTATATCCTCCCTTGTAAATTTTGTCCTATATCCTCCCTTATAAGTTTTGTCCTATATCCTCCCTTATAAGTTTTGTCCTATATCCTCTTCCCTAATAAGTTTTGTCCTATATGCTCCCTAATAAGTTTTGTTCTATCTCCTCCCTTATAAGTTTTGTCCTATATATACCCTAATAAAATTTGTCCTATATAATTATGCTCTTATAAGTATTGTTCTATATCCTCTTTTATAAGTTTTGTCTTATATCCTCTTTTATAAGTTTTGTCTTATATCCTCTTTTATAAGTTTTGTCTTATATCCTCCCTAATAAAAATTGTCCTATACATGCCCTAATAAGTTTCATCCTATATATGTCTTAATAAATTTTGTCCTATATATGCCATGATAAGCTTTATCTTTTATACCCCTGATAAGTATTTACCTATATATGCCCTTATAAGTATTGTCCTATATATGTCCTAATAAGTTTTATCCTTCATACTCCCTGATAAGTTTTGTCCTATATGTGCCCTTACAAGTTTTATCCTATACATGGCCTAATAAGTTTTATCCTTCATACTCCCTGATAAGTTTTGTTCAATATGTGCCCTTACAAGTTTTATCCTATACATGTCCTAATAAGTTTTGTCCTATATATGTCCTAATAACTTTTATCCTTCATACTCCCTGATAAGTTTTGTCCCATATGTGCCCTTACAAGTTTTATCCTATACATGTCCTAATAAGTTTTGTCCTATACATGCCTTAATAAGTTTTGTCCTATATATGTCCAAATAAGTTTTATCCTTCATACTCCCTGATAAGTTTTGTCCTATATGTG